TCCAGTGTTTCTCAACCTGGCAACTTTGAGATGTGTGGACTTCAACTCCCAGAACTCTTCAGCCAGCATGCTGGCTGGCAAATTCTGGGAATTGAAGTCCACACATCTCAAAGTTCCTAAGGTTGAGAAATACTGACCTAATCCATTACATATGGGGGTGGTTGTAGAGATAAAATTTGAGAAGGAGGTACAGAGTACTTCTCCTCAAAGTCCTGGAGGAAAAGTGTGATATAAATCAACTGAAAAAAGAAATATCTTGAAATTGAGTGAATGGATTGAATAATTCTATGTACAGTTGGGATGCAGAAAGGATACTAGAGAAGGCAAATTTAAAACATCAATAAAGACTTTCCATTTTTAATGTACCAGAGCAGACCCACTTGAGTTTATCTAAGCATAGCTCTGAATTTTATAGCCCATATTAATAGAATGGCTAGTTGATTTGAATGATGGTTTGGTTGGTTGAGCATATATCAGGCTAGGACCATAGCTACTGTAACTTGAATATAAGAGGTAAGATTTATCTACATTTGCTGCATACTGCATTGCACTGTTCCAGTGAATTCAAAATTTTTCAAAAGGCCCTTTCATACTTCAAATGATGATGATTATTAATATAATCCTTGTCAGGGTTAGTTGTGGGTGAGAAGCAGTCTGCTTAATAGTATATAGGCTTTGATGCCAATCTTCAAGGGTCTTTTTTTGTTTTCTGCTTGCAATGCTGAGGAGATGGCAATCAAGTCAGTTTACGGTGAGTATATCTTTAGAACATAAACCTGGCTTGGGAGGGAAGCAGAGAATGTGAGGGAATTTGTGCTGGATCATCATGGCTGAAGGTCTATCGATAGGGAAGAAATACTTGCCCAGGGAGGCACCTAGCTAAGATGAAGAATGGGCATGCTTTGGGGAGAGACAGCACAGCTCTACCATGGGAGGATAGCTGGGTCAGAGAAAAGAAGTCCAAGTCTGTCTAGTGCCAGGATGGTTGGGAAGCTCTGGGTGTCCTTTCACAGCCCTTCTCTGTAACACTTTCTAACATGTTCACATTCTTTCTCTCTCCCACTTTTAAATTTCACAGGGTGAAATTGTAGATAACATAGAACTCAACATGATGCACACCGTGGACCACATAGAGAAAGCACGTGAGGAAACCAAGAAGGCTTTAAAATATAAGAGTAGGGCACGCAAGGTGAGCCTTTCCTACAGACCTCCAGCTCGGCACTCTCAGCCACTTGGTCGGTTTACACTGTTTGCTTCTGCCTCTCTCTTTGGCTTCTGCCTTCTTCTTCCTCTGCAAGGGAGCCATGATTGACCGCATAGAGAACAATATGGACCAGTCAGTAGGCTTTGTGGAGAGGGCTGTCGCTGACACCAAAAAGGCTGTAAAATTTCAGAGTGAAGCACGAAGGGTGAGAAGAATTATTGGAACCCAGCCCCATCTCACCTTGTTTAGACTCTTATCCCAGTGTTTGTTGAACTCACTTCCTGCAGACGTCTTTCTGTCAGCTTGGTGTTTGTAGATTCAGACCCAGTTCTTCCTTCCCACTCTCTTTCTGTTCCTCTGCCTACCCTGCACTTCAAAACCCACCCACTTTGTCAATACATTGTATTAGTTGTTTTGCTAAGCACTGCTTTATTTTATGAGTGGTCATAGTCTGTTCCTTCCCTTCAACATGAAGAAGGTCTCTTCTTTCACAGCTCCTTTTAAAATATTGTTTTTAATCATCTTTGAAGAATGTGAGGTTTGAACTTCTCTAGAATGCTAGTCTGAATGTCTTCTACTTCTCCTTTGAGTTGTCTTTCCATTCTGTTATTGTTCTGTATGTGAAGGCTTATCCCTGTTAATTTTGATAAGTTATATAGAAGTTATGGCACATGGCAGCCAACAATCCAACCTCTTTTATTCTAGCAAAGTTCTCCCATGCCTTTAATAACTGTGTGGTAGGCAGAGGTTCAGTCACCTGCGGGTGCTTTTGGCTTGGGGGTTGGGAAGTAGCATATGTTGAAAGTTCTGCAGCTGGTAAAGGATGAGGAGGTCTGCTCAGTGAAAATGGCAAGGAGAATTAGTTTGCTTCAAGTTTTCACTTCCTGCTATAAGAAAGCTGGAAACTGAAAGTACTTGAAACCCATCATTCAGTGTTTTCCTTCCTTCCTTCCTTCCTTCCTTCCTTCCTTCCTTCCTTCCTTCCTTCCTTCCGTCCGTCCGTCCGTCAGTCAGTCAGTCCGTCAGTCAGTCCGTCAGTCAGTCCGTCAGTCAGTCAGTCAGTCCGTCCGTCCGTCCGTCCGTCCGTCAGTCAGTCAGTCAGTCAGTCAGTCAGTCAGTCAGTCTATATGGCTCCCCATCTCCAATACATGGCTCTGGGAGGTTTACAATAATTAAAAAATGATATTAAAGAACAAAATATTTTTATCCTGAGAAAATTAGCTGGTTTGGGGGATATTGCACAAAAAGGCCTAAGAATTATAGCTTTCTGCA